ACTGTCTGTTTCTAGGGAAATCATGATGACTTTTTTAAGAGCAAAGCTAATTGTGACAGTGAATGCTAAAACCTGGGTTTGGCATAACTTATTATTATTGTAGTTGGTGGAAGATCTTAAAAGTTTAAAGATGTAGTTATTGCCCAAACAACATTTTAACTACAGCAATGGAAATGATAGAAAGCACTGATACTTGTAACCCCTTCGTGCCAGCCTCTCTCACTTGTGGGTGTTGACCTTGGTCACCTGTACAGTTACGTTTTCCCCCTTCCCATGCTGTGCTCTTGGGAAGGAGGTCCCGGTGTGCAGCCCACACGGAGGTGCAGGGATCTCTGCCCCCTACCTGTAGGGCAGTGTATGTACAGAAACTTTGTGCAATTCTTCTGCATGGGAGATTTGTCTTTCTTCCTCATTAATTTATTCAGTCATATGTATCAGTATGGACTCAGGGATATTTATTTTATACTTTGGGAGTATACTTTAGGTACACTTTATTTTGTTGCCCAAATTATTTTGCCTTTGGCCATTGGGAGCTCTTTACTTGACTTCTGTGCCCCTGTGATACGCTTCCATCAGTGTGAGTTTGTTTTGTTTTTCGAGTACTTTCTTACTTTCGGGCACTACAAGATGCTCTAGGCTCATCGTGTATATTTCCTGCCCCAGTCCTGGAATCAGCCATTTCCCCAAAGAGCCCTGGTTCCTTTTATTGCAGAATAGGGAAGCCCAGACCTGGGTGCTAGGTGTGCTTGTTACTACTTCGGTGTCATTTCTTTGAGGCCTTCTCTGACAGAACAAAGAAATAAGTGTGTATACTAACCCTTGCATGAACATATCTGATATATATTGGGTTGTCGGAAAAGTCATGACATATTTTTTCTATGTTTTTCATTGCAAAAATGCGTCATGACTTTTCCGACAACCCAGTACATACCTATAAGTATTTCCATATGTAGCCATCTGTGTGTATTAAGCTAAACGTGAGTTCTGACTCATGTCTCCAATTGTAACCCATTACCACAGGGATCATTCTAGCCATTTCCCCTTTTCTATCTGTGAATTCCCACTCCATCAGTGAGAAACCTGGCCCCTGCCATCCTCCATGCACTAACTTGTTCAATTCCAGTATACATGTGTATTGGTATCAGAACTGGTAACCTGGAGTGCCCATGGAAACAGCTTGATCAGGGAGCCTGCAGTGCTTCTGTGCACATTTCCTTTTGCCGTCATTCCTGGAGACCTCAAAGGGTGCTTAGGCCAGCACCTTTCCAGCCCCAACCTCTTTCAGTAAGATTTGGTTCATTTGTGACACAGATTCTCCTGTCACTCTCTGCATTCCTTCCTGGGCTCCCTTAACCTCTTACATGATTTTCTTTTAATTTGCATACATTAAGGTTCACTCTTTGTGTTGTAAAGTTATAGCTGTGAGTTTTGACAAATGCATAATGTCATGCATCCACTGGGACAACATCATACACAGTAGTTTAACCCTTAAAGCCCCCTGTGCGTCATTGATTCATCCCTCCCTTATTCCCCCAAATTTTTGGCAACCATTCATCTTCCTGTGTGTAGTTTTGTGTTTTACGGAATGTAATTGGAATCATCCAGTATGTATGTAGCATTTTCAGACTGACTTTTTTCACTTAGCAATATGCATTTAAGTTTTCTTCATTGTATGTGTGTGGGGAGGTCTTGATTATTTCTTTTTATTGATGAATAATTTATTGTATGGATGTATCACAGTTTCTTTATCATTATTAAAGACTGTCTTGGTGGATTCCAATTTTTGTCAATTATGCATAAAACTGTTATAAACTTGTAGGCCTTTGGGTTTTTGTGTGACCTTTTTCAAACTAATTGGCTAAATACTTAGGAGCTAATTGCTGTTTTGGATGTTAAGACTGTTTAGGTTTGTGAGAGACTTCGAAACTGTCCTCCAAAGTGTTTGTACCATTTTACGTTCCTACCATGAATGAATGAGAATTCCTGTTGTTCCTCATCCTTTCCGGCATTTGATATTCAGGTTTTGGGATTTCAGCCATTCTAATAGTTGTGTAGAACTTTCTCATTGTGCGACAAATGATGTTGAGCATCTTTTCATGTACTTATTTGCCAGCTGTGCATCTTCTTTGGTGAGGTGTCTGCTCAGATATTTTGCCCGGTTTTTACTTGGGTTGTTTGTTTTCATATTGTTGAATTTTAACATTCTTTGTAAATTTTTTTTTT